ATTCCTGAAGGCCTGCCTTCTCCTCCCATGGTACTTATTTTGCTTAGAAGGAAGAAAAAAATACTCAATTTCATTTAAACTTGATGGAGAAGAAAGTGACAGATAATTCAAAATCACAATTTCTTTTCTTCCTTTTCTTCTCAATTCTTACCAGAAACCTAGAAGACTGTAGCTGCATGCCACCCTCTCAAGAGTAGAGTGCTCTAAACTATTTTCATGTCACTGTGGGTTCAGGTTTCTATATTTAAGAATTTTCCTTGCTACCTCAACTCAACCTCAGTAGATGAAAACTGCAGAGATTCAAAGATTTCAAAAGAAATGTTTTGGGAGTGAAAAGGACAAAAGTGGGTATTTTATATAGATATAGATCATGCATGGGAAAAAACTTTACTGAAAAATTTTTCTTCTTTCGAATAAAGGACTTTCAGTTTTCACAGAATGAGTCTGACTGTGATGCCCTATATAATGAAGGAAGGATGACACTAAGTTGGAAGGAAACATTGATCTGCCTGGGGGAAGGAAGGACCCACAAAGGAATGTGGGCAGGCTGGATAGATGGACTAAGGACAGTGGGCATGAAGTTGATGAAGTTCAACAGAATCAAGTGCCAGGTCCTGCACTTTGGTCACAGCAACCCCAGGCAATGCTACAGGCTTGCAGCAGAGTGACTGCAAGACTGTGCAGTGGAACCAGATCTTGGGGTATTGGTTGATGCTCTACTGAACACGAGACAGCAATGTGCCCAGGTGGCCAAGAAGTCCAGTGGCATCCTTGCGTATCAGAAGCAGTGATGCCAGCAGAAGCAGGGAAGTAATCATCCCCCTGTTCTTAGTACTGATGATGCTGCATTTCAAGTACTGTGTTCAGTTTGGGTCCCGTCATACAAGAAAAACATTGAGGCCGTGGAGCACATCCAGAGAAGGGAAATAAAGCTGGGAAGGGGTCTGGAGCACAAGTCTTATGAGGAGAATTATTTTTCTAGCACATCTATTAAAAGGATACTGAATTTATGAATATAGGTGTTGTGAACATCCTAAATCATCCAACAAGAACTGATTCTGAATTCCTGCAAAACTTTAGTTGACAACCAGTGAATTGATTCTGGAAGATTATGAGGATTATGAACCTTTTCTTGTCATATTGCCAAAAAGAGGAAAGTCCTCACGGATGCGAAGTAAGTAGCAGCATCTTCTGTTATTTATACAGTTTCACTTTAGTACAAGGGTCCTTTAAAATAGTCACAGAAAAGTCTGATTTCTTTACGATACAAGACATTTAAAAAACCTGAGGAAATGTAAAACTGTACAAGAACAACCTAAATCGGCCATTTCAATAAAGAAAAGGTTTACACTATTATCATAGCCCAAGAAAAAAAAATGTTTTGTCTTACCTGTAAAGCCCTTGTCACATTCACAAAGAAAGGTGTTTGGAGTTACATTGCTGCAGTTGCCATTGAAACATGTATGTGGTTGGCATTGTCCAACGATTTCTGTACAATTTTTACCTATTTAAAAGGAGTAATAAGAACATTGAATTTAATTAATTTTTTCCTCAATATTTCAAAATATATAAGTTAAATAATATATGAGATGGATAGATAGATATTAGTACTAATATTGATCACTATATTTCAAGAAAATTACTAGAGTTTTAAAGAACGGTACAAAACTGTTTAGTTACTTTAATATGAACTAATGTTATCTACTCCATCTACCACATGGTTAGAAATTCACGTGTAACATAAAATCCAGAAATGCAATTAATAGAGAATTATTTTTTGTTTTTGACACGAATATAGCCTATAGTTTCTTCCAGCATAAAAAGTAATATGAAAAACAAAGCTGCTTTCATATGCAATCCAATTTTTGACTAAGTTTTTCTTATTATGCATCTTTCTGAGAATTACCATTTCAATTATCAATTTTTTATGCTATTACAGCATATGGGCATAAGAAAACATGAATATGCTTTCTACTTGTATTGTTACTATAACATTATTTATGATTCGGCAATTATCCCACTTTCTAATACACTTTTTGTTATGGGAATTGCTTTTACGTCCCCACAATTTGATGGTTTAATTTCCTAGTTCTTGTTCTCGTACAGTTTATTTATTGGACCAGTACTGTCAGTACAAAGTGATGGCATTAGCCAACACTGCCCCATATAGGCTAACAAAATATTTTGAGCATTGCTTAATGACTGCATTAAACATGATTAGTTTTAATTACCTATGAATATTCCAATCAGTCTCAATAATAGAAGTAGCAGGCTTCTTAGGCATTATTATTTTCAGAGCATTTTATGCAGCCCCCAGAAATCTCAAAAGAAATGGGAAACATACTGCATCAGTGATTTCTGCCATTAGTTTTCTGCTGCTTTTTAAAGTTCTAAATTATAAAAAAAAATATTTTTCTCATAACACTGATATATTCACACTTGCATAATCTATTTGCAAATGCATTGGTAACTGAGCTATTACGCCATTTAAAAAGCAAGTAAAAATAAATTACATCAAACTTTATTTTAACATAATCTTTAAATTCTTTGTGTGAACCTACTCATTCCTGACTCATCAAATGTGATTCCTAACATAGCATCACAATTGAAAGACTCAACAGAATTGCAGCCACTGAGGGAACATTTGCTAGAATTCTGCTCCACAAGTACGGACAGAGCTGCAACAATCCTTCTTTTGATAGGAATGACTAATTCTGGTACTTTCTGGTTTCCTGAGCTGCATTATTCTGAATGCAGGAAAAATACATCCACTGTTTACATCATCCCCTTTTGTTTTTCCATGAAATCAAGACTACGACTGGGTAAGAATGCATATAATCATACTGTACTCTGATAGCAAACAAATATGTTCTCGTCTAGATGTACAACATAAATACTGCAGCTTTACATACATAAAATTGAATGATTTATTATTATTATATGAAATATTTAATATGATGATAGCAACAATTAGGTAAACAAGCATGTTGAGCAAACTTCTTTGGAAAGGAACATGAAATGTAAAAATTATGGAAAACGTGTAAATATTGGGTTTTTTTTTTTTTTTTTTTTCCCCCTCCTAATTAAACGAATTATTTTTATTGAAAACCTTGATTTTTAAATTTTCAGAATTTTGTTTAAGTAGCTGTTATGGGCTGACTCCCAGGAATTTCTGTTATTTTGTGTAAGAAATTTTGTTGTTGTTGAGCAAACATATTAAAAAAAAAAAATCTGTTACTTCTGTGACATTCTTAAGTGGGAAAGAAGCACGAAGATGATATTTTAATTCTCCCTCTATAATGAACACAAGAATGTAAGCAAGTACAAATCTTTGAATGACTGCCTAGTTTCCTATGAGAGACTAACAGTAAAAGGCACTGTGCATATACAGTAGGGGCAATGGACAATCAAAATGTATGGAAACATTGTTAATGACATGCTCATTTTATATATATTCATACTCTTTAGTAGACAATAACACTTATTCATAGATGGAAAAAAATACCTGAAAACTCTGGAGGACAAGTGCACTCATATGAATGTCTGGTGCCTTCTGATTTCTCGGTACAAGAGGCATTGTTATGGCAAGGTTTAATGGAGCACACATTAAACTTCTGGCAGAATTTTCCAGAGTACTCTGAGAAACAATGGCAACTATACTGTTTTTCCCAAACATGGCTTAAACATCTTCCGTGCTTAGAGCACAAGGGTGAATTTGGAGTCTCTTGACAAACCTGCTGCTTCACAGTTATGTTTAGACGAAGGCCCATGTTGCACAGATGTGGGCCTCTCTTATGTAGTTCTACAAAGTAATGAGTTCCAGCACTAAGCCAGGTAGGGTCAACTTGGTGCAGTCCTCTTATCTGGCAAACAAAAATCTGCTGTTCTTGAAGAAAGCCACTTTTGGGGCAATTAATAAAGTCTTCCTTGGAGACATTTACCAAATTCATACCATAGGACTGAAATGATGGATCAGAAGAGATGAAGAGACTATCGCCCAATTGAAGCTGTACAGGGCATATCTGAGGGACACTGAGATTTTTGTCTTCCCTAGTAGAGTTTTTATTCACATTCCAGCATTCTGAGTAAAAGTCTGTGCATATATTTTTCCTTAGTGTCCACTCCATTACAACGTGTGCTGGTTCCACTCGCCATTCAGCAATTATTTGCCTCTCACACATGATCTGCCCCTTCACAATGCAGAGCTGAAGAAAGCACACTATGATGTGAACTGCTGATTTTGAAGTCATTGTTTCAACTAGCACGTGGGAGTCTTCATTCACATGTGCTTTATTACTGAAGATGGATTTAGATCACCTTTTCCTAAGCTGTTTCTGTATTCTCTTTGGTAGCCTAGGAATTCAAACAGAGAAAAAGCACTGTTTTCATGCTAAATGCAGTAGACTGATAAAGGTTTGTTAAAAAGAAAAAAAAAAAAAAAAAAAAAAAGGGAACACAGGGAAGACTCAGCAAAGTAGAGGTGACATGTAATAAAACATAATCAGAATTCTTTTTCTGACATTCCTCAGTTTTTCTTTCTTTTGGGCAAACCCATTGAAGGATGCAATATTATTTATGTACAAAGCTTAACAGTATATAGCACCTCCCTCTGATGAAAGAAAGCAACATCCAGTCAGTCCTATATTCACAACTCTAGTGCATGCAGAAACAATCTATAGGCAGTCTGATGAAAGTGTGTATTAACTATGGTAAAAACACATGGCAAGCATTTACTGCACTGGAGTGACTTCTCTTCCCAGCTAGTCAGCAACTTGATTTTGCCTTTGCCTTCTTGCTCGCCCTCTCCTTTTGCTTCAAAGTGATCTTCACTGTCTGAGCCAACCTCCAACAGAATTGGACCTCCTTAACAAATCATGCATGAGAGTTTGGCCCAATGGCCTTTGTGAAGCAATGACCAGAGCTGTTAAAGTCTTAGATGAAACCATAAGGTTGTGAATTATTAACTAGCAACTAGTAACAGTGCAAGACCTGAGGCTTAGAATGCTACACTCAAAAGGGGTACAAGCTGCATTTTGCTCGCCTTCTCAAAACTGTTTTATTTTCGTTTAATTATCAAATTCCAATTCTGCCTTCAGATAAGACACACTCTAACCACCTACTTCACAGCCAGGCAGGTAAGATAATTCCTAATTCCTCACTATTTCCACACCTGGGAGCTAATTCCCTGTAGGGGAAAAAAGTGATTAAAAAAAAAGACAATTTTGCAGAATCGCTACCCTTGAATAACAAGCATTACCTATACTGAGACTATTCCATCATCTTGAGTGTCACATGATGTTCAGCAATACCATTAAATAACATTCTAGCAAATGTACAGTTTTGATCATTTAGCATTTTTTCTTCTCATCTAGCAAGTTGAACTATTATATCCATTATAGCTGCTATTGCATCCGTCACTATTATCAGATATAAAAGTCTATGCTTTATATTACTGAGTATTAAGAAATTCTACATTCTGCAACCTGTCTTTACGCATCTTTTTTTGTAATGAGATTTTCTCAGGGGTTACTAAAATTAATGTTTATAAAAGGTTACCTTTCTTTTTAGACATTTTGAAAAGAGAGCAATTGAATGACTAACATGGAAGAATTCTTGCCCACACAGTTCTCCTTTCATCTCTGTAATTCTGCATAGTTCTGATATCAAATACAGGCTTCTTTTTTACTGATAAAGGGTACCTTTTCAGAGTACTTGTATGGGAAAAAACTTCTGAACTCTTTCTAAGTAAATAATCAGTAGCATTAAAAAAGTTTATATTTGGTCTTTACAACATTCATTACCAGTCTTCACTCAACTGAAAGATATTGCTGTAAGAGTACTAGAATAACCAACTTTAAATAAGCAATTTTAAATAAGCAAATACATACTGTAAAGCAATGGCAAGAATAGGGCAAGATGCAAAATATGGAAAATGAAAACCAAGAGTGAATAAAGATTATTTGTTTGAGTTAGCAATAAAGTCATGAGGAAAAAAAAATATATAGTAAAGAGTATTAAAAGTTAAGACCTAAGCATGAAATAGCATCAATACTGATGTAGATTATGTAGAAAGTCAACCAAAAAATGCAATATCCACAAAATGCTGATACCATGTCATGAGATAAATTCGTTCCATGAGATAAAATTTGAAAGCAATTATAACTGTCAGATTTTATGTCTAGATCAGGCAAGAACAAATACTTCTTATAATTCCACATGCTTCCATGTAATTTATAAGGACAAAGAAAAACCCAAGACTTGCACATGTTGACACACAGTAAGATACTTCAAAACCTCGCAAAGGAAAAGTTACATAAGACTGGGTGAAAGAAAGCATAATCTTTTTATAGTAATGGAAAAGTGAAACAGCAAGGTTTATGCAAGACCCCAGGGAAGTCATTTAAAAGCAAAAAGCAAAGTCTATGTCATTTGCATTCCAGTGCAGTATCTTAAATATTATGATTTTATTTTATTAATGAGTTATTAAATATTAATGACAAAAACAAAATGTATTTTAAGTAAGACTGCAGAAAAAACCATACAAGTTATATGACTAAATAATCTCAAAAAAAAAGAGCTAGCCAAAGAAGGAAATACATCAGAAAATTTTTATGAAAATCATGACCCTTTGCTTGGGCCAGGAATGCACTTCTTGCCCCCTCCTTGCATCTTGCATACATCCTTCCTGGTCTGCCTGTCCTCACTCGTGGTTGGCTCTGGCAGCAAAGGGCTATGACCTTGGATTAAGATGGTATGAAGGGAGCTGGGAGAGCTGTAGGGGACCTTTCTGGAGGCCCCCTGCCTCACTCAGGATCTGCATTTAACCTCAGGCTCTCATCATTGATGCTGGAGCTGGAAAAGTAGTTGGCATTGTATACCATTTATCCAGGCCCTAACTCAAATATTCAATTTCCTGAGTTGATGCGGTGATTTCTCTCTCAGTGTGCTGCATGTGGGAACCACTGAACTGTTGGCTCAGGGTTCCAGAGCTGTCAGATGTGTGATGGTACTTTGAGCTCACTGTCACACCCATTACCATCTTCTTACCCTTGAAAGACTTGCTGCTTCATGGGACAGTGATACCACGCTTGCTTTATTTCCAATGCACGTTTGAAAACATCTTTTTTAAGCATGAATTAAACAACAAATAATGTAAAAAATGCCTCAAGTTAAAGCGCTTGCACAATATGGTTTCTATCCTGTGCATTTTACAAATATATGTGCTGTGTCTATTACATAGCAAGTTGCCCTTTATGCCTTCATACTTACCACAAAATTAAAAATCCTTAGAAAATGATAGTGCCAATCTTCACTGTTTGTAAATGGTAATTTCCCTATTTGCACCATTTAAAACAAAGTGGTGGATGAATCATTAACTTGTTAACATGATTTTCTAGAACACTGAACATCCTAGACTGCACCTCAAAATACAGAATCGTTATTTCTAATTTCAGATAAACCACAGCTATCAACAGAAGTAGTGACAATGCAACCAACATTGGAGTTGTAAGGCTTCCTAATTCATAACCTTTGCTTAAGTATCCATGAAGCATAACTGCAGGCAAAACAGCCCTCAGTCAGGGACTTTGACTTGACTTGTGTTCACTGATTTATATTTTGATAATAAGAACCACATAAACAAACACATGAATAGATGTTTTACTCTCACCCATCTCAGCTTTATCTGCAGATTGCACCGTTACTGTCCAAAATCCTCCAGAGCAAAGTAAGTAAGAAGCTACGGTGTTTTGCATCACTTTTTTTTTTCCTGCTCCTTGTATTTAAAGGATTCTTGATGCTCAGTTCCCTATCCTGGTGTGGGTTGCCTATGGCTGCAGCTCCTTGGTGGTATATGTACCACAGTGGCATGGTGGGCCTCCATTCACATGCCTCCAGTTCCCATTGTCTATGGATCCAGATGTACATACACTTGAGCTGGGCTGTAAGCTCCTCTAGCTTGGTAGCAGTTTTTCCCTTCATTGTGTACATCAGATGCAGAACATCAGAAACCAGCCATGATGGGTACAGGCTCATTCATGACATGATTCCTCCACAGCCCTGCAGCCTTCCCCATGCCTCTTACTCCTGTTTACTTCTCTTGCAGTTTTATGCACCTAACGTGCTTGCATACCAATATAAAGACCAAGCACCTACCAAAAATAAAGTCCAAGGAGACAAAGAGCCAAAATACATGCTAGACAAAATATGTCATTTCCAAATAGCCTAGATAGAAAGCACCATTATTTTTTCCTGCGTTCTTTGCTTGTACTTCTCTACCTGGGATTGCAATACTTCCCCTGACTGTGATCCTCACTGTCACTTGCTGAGGTCACAAAGGCTGAAAGAAAGCTCAACAATAACAGGAGATTACAGTTAACTTGTAAATTGGGCAAACAGCTCAACACAGCATATTTCAAGATTAACAGTTAAATATCTACATACGATCAGTGCCTGTTTCTTGGAACATTAGGTTAGAGAATCTACTAAATGCAAAACAAGCCTTGCCATGATTTGTTACTTTTGTTATATTTCTTCTTTATTCAGAATTTAAGAATGGCACTCTAACAGAGGCCTTTCTTTTCTTAGATTCAAAATGATTGTAGAAGCAACAAAATTAAAAACCTCCATAGTAGTTCCCAGATTCCAAAAAAGAAACTACTTTTACAGTTAAATTAGTAGAAAGAGCCTTAAAAGAAGTCAGCAGGATTAAATCCTCATAGAGAAAGCCAGCATTATCTAAGGACACTGTATTAGAGGGGGGAAAAAAAACTGTGCCACTAATGAGGACTTGAAAACAGACAAATAGATAAAAGGAGTTGATGAGGCTGAAGAGGAAAGGAAATCAAGGTGCACACCTTACAATCTTCAATTCCCTAAAAATAAACGAAACAAAAACATCACAGGCTCTGGTATATTGAGTGTGAAAGCATAGATTCATATAAAAAACACCAGAGAGATGAAAAAATTCAATAAGCAAATAACAGTATTGAAATGAACAATAAATCACTAAAAACACTGTAGTAACAGAAAGCATAGCAGCCTCCATTTATATCGAGCAGACATTCTCTGTACAACAGGAGTATTCGAAGAGATAAGTTAGAAAAACTAAATTACATTTTAGTTTTCTGCTCACTGTGAAAGAGTTTGGTTATCTGGTACACAGAATTTGTCAGCAGTTGGAGTGTTAATAGAAAAAGTAGATAAATGGACAGCAACAGTGAGTCTGATCCACAAAATACCCAGTGTTACAAGAACTCAAGAATTAAATAGAATAACTTATTTTTATACATATCCTCTTGCTGTGAGATGTACTTCCACGTCAAATATTAGAGAAGCGTCAATATGACTCACGTAATGCAAAGTCAGGACTCAAGAGAATTATCAGAGTCCTCTGAGGATTCCTCATAAAAGGAACATTAATCACTCTAGAAATTCAGGATTGGGACTTTGCCTTTTAAGATATCCTTCCTTCAGGCTAAGAAGAAATTGATGTATTTAACAGCATCATTTGTAGGAAGAGTCAAAGCATTACTCCTTCCTCTCAGTTGAGTGTCCTGCTATGCTCATTCTTAATGAACAGGGAAACTTGAGTTATTTTTTGTTCAGTGGTATTGCAGTTTTCTGGAGTAGAGTTGAAAAGTGGCCTCCTGTGAATTCAGCTTATCTTCTCAGAGAAGATAGAAGGAGGTGATAGAAGGATGAAGGAAAGTTTTCATGTTCAGAGGAGAAAATTCAGGACTGATTGGCAAGGCAGGCACAGTAGGTAGCTGGGTGCTTGCAATGCTTTAAGAGAAGTCACAGGCCTCCAGGGTGATGACAGTACTTTCTAAGGACTGAAGCACACAGAATTTGAGGGAAGCCAGAAGTTCACTGAGATGACTGAATTCAGGGACCTACATAGTGTAACACGAAAGAATTGTTCATAACCCCTATATATAGGAACAAGTGTTCTCTACCTTTAGGATTGACACAGCATCTTTTCTTATATCTTCTGAAGACATCGCTGTGTCCCAGGATGTGTGTCCTTGTGTTATTGCTGTGGTGGCACGAGTCACAATCACATTTAGTGAAAAATGTGATCACAGTACAAACTAGAGAAGGAAAATACATATTCAAAAGATATCTCAGTCAAACCCAAAGAGAACTTCACAAGTCACTGAGAATGACATTCCCTCTAGAACCACTGACGCCACTCTGCTGAATAGAGTGAATACACTCTGCTGTAGTCACCAGTGATTTCTTGTAGTGAGGGGCCCAAAACAGAGAACAGTACTCATGCTGCAGCCTCGTAAGAGCTGAGTACAGGAGAATGATCACTCTCTCTGCTCCTGCTGGCAGCACTGTTTCTGATGCAAGCCAGGATTCCACTGACCTTGGCCACCTGAACACACTGCAGATTCATGTACTGCTGAGCACTGACCAACAGCCCTAGGTCCTTTACCTCCACACAGCCTTCCAGCTACTCTGTCCCAAGCCTGCAGCATTGCTTGGGGCTGTCAGGGCCAAAGGACCTAGCGCTTGGCCCTGCTGAACCCATTCTCTATTTAAAACTTCATATATGTTTCTTGTGAAGCCTGTTTTATACCGAAACCGTTCCTGATGTGTTTTAAGCTTTTTTTTTTTTTTTTTTTTTTTAATTTAAGTATTGCTCTTATTTTTTCTTCTGTTTATACATTATGTAGTCATTAAGACAATTCATACTAAATTAGGATCAACTGCACATTAGCTAAAATTGAGTTATATTCTATAGAAAGTTATTCTTGTGTATCTTTATCAATTTCAATATGTAACTGCCTTAAGAACATAAAGAATATAAACAGATCAAATCAACCTGTACCGTACCAGTAACTGAGATCCACAAATCCATTTTAAACTGATTACCACCTTATTTTCATGTTTTCAATAGTCTGAGAATATTTCTTTTTTCTCTTTTTCTGTTTGTTTGTTTTTGGTTCCTATAGTATTCTTACTTCTGAATTCCACTCCAAACTGTACCTTTTTAGTGCGCTTTGGTTCACATAATGCAGCGGTTTCAGAACAAGTGACCTTCAAATGAAATAAACCTGAAAAAAACATTGCAATAACTAACCTGTGTTCTGCAGCCAATAGCGGTCATCAGTCTGTATGTATAGGGAAAGCTGGCAATAACACATCAGAAAAAAAACTGTTATGGATGTCAGGTAGCTGTATCAAGTAGCTTCACTGCTTCACTTTCAGTTTCTCTATTTTCTGCATTGCTTGGAAATGTAGACTTAACTGTGAACTAAATGTGAACTAAAATAGAACTAATTTCTTAAACTATTCAAGGAGTTCCACCCTGCTGTATTCAATAGAATTGTTCCCCAATTAGAGCAAAATGAATTAAATCCATCACGTAGATTAATCTGCCTGAAATTAGCTGAAGGTTTAAAAAGAAAATTCGTTTTTGCTAAGCCCAGCTAATTTAGGTACTGTGAATTGATCTCTACAACTCGGTTAAAGGTATTAGCCTAAATTCTTCATTCTTAAGAAACTATATTAGTCAAGGATTGCTTGACTATTTCAGTTTATTGTAACTGTAGTTGAGAATAAAAAGGAGCAAGATTACTGAAGACTCCTGGATGTTCTACTTAAGTAAAAAATGAACAGCAAAGGAGCTAGAAAGATAGAGTAAGGTTGGATGATAAAGGAAGTTTCAATTCTCTTTTGAATCATTTTGAAGCATTCAGGAAGAATCAATGGACTACAATTTTACTTTTTTTTCCCCCCCCATTTATTTAAGTCATATACTGGAATGCATATTTTCCCTTATTCCAATAAAAGAAAAAAATGAGCGGAATCATTACCAATAAGAATGAAACAGTATTATTTTGTAACCATATATGTTTCAAAATTTAGTAGTATGGTATTACTGAGAATTCAGATACAATGCCTACATCCATACCACTAAACATTTTCAAAGTTAAAGCAAATCTGAAGGCAAGATGCATAAAGAATAGTATTTAGACCACAAATATCTACTTCTCTGCCTAATTATCTTAACAACAAAGAAAGAAATGAGTAAATTATTTATATATATTACCAAGTCTAGTACTAAGAACAAGACATTGTTCTTCCACAGTGTTCAGCTGTTAGGCCGTTTCTTGGAACTGTTGTGACTATTATCAACTCATCTTTACCAAACTGACTTGATCAGTGAGTTTAGAGGCACAGTTTATGAGATCTCTGGCCATGGATCATTCCCAATAGGCAGTCAGAGAGCAGGCAGACATTCTGAAGGCTGAGAAAGAGTGATGGTTTTGATAGGTCAGACCATCCCATCAAACCTCAGGACTAGAAAATAGCCTTTGTCAATGTTCAGTTTGTGAATTTCAGGCCTTCAGTGCTGAATTTGATTATTACATTTCAAGGAGCTAGAAAACACAAGACAAAGCACAGTATCTACATCCACTTCATGAAATTATTTAATTTGCCAAAATAAATGAACCAGAATAAATACCCAGAATATATTACTATTTTACTAGGATTTTAAAATACAGGTTTTATATAAAAGCAATAAAATGAAATTAAAAAAAAAAAACAGACACGTAAATAATGAAATGATGACAATAATTTCATTTCTATGATTCACAGCATTAAAGGGTTTCAATTATAATTATCGGTTTGTAATTATGTGTTTCACTTGATCCTAGACATTATTAATTCACATTTGGGAACTGTATTTCCCTTGTAAACATCCCATATCTGCCAAATGTATACTAACAGCATGCACAATACCTAATTACAGATAAATATTTAAGTCCACATAGTGATGAAACCTCATTCTTATTACATTGCATAAGTGCATAAATGCAAGGAATACACAAGGAGTATTAAAAACGTATGTTCCTCACAGTTTTTTTTTTCTTTAATTTTCCTAATAGATGTGACAAATTTGATGTTAGCATTAAGACAATCTATTTAAAATGTTAATAATTAATATATTTAATACTAAAGATACAACAGCATACCTAGGTACCAAGGAAAAGCGATTTATTTTTCAGAAGATTTTTGTGGATTATTAATTTACAATGAGGACAATGTGAACTAAACCACCATCCCATTGCATCTCCTGGTATATTCTCATCTACACTGGCTGGAACATAAATTAGTTTAAACTTCCCTTAATTTGTTAGACTCAATTTTGAAATAATAACTAAAAAAAACCCCACAAAAGATAGTACCATCTGCAAAGTTATTGTACCACTTATTGAGGTTTCAGTTGCCCTCATCATAATTCTTGCACAAACTCACAGAATAAAGAATATGGAGCCTCCATACGAATGAAAAATGAGAAAGCTCACAATTTTCATCTTATTCAATTTGAAGCAAACAAACAATTGGTATGCTGATGAAATTATCTTAGGTCATCACTGTCAACATTCAGAATATCAAACAACCATTTACATACAAGTTACTATCAAAACTCTTCTAAGTTTTGTCTGGGATAAACTGCAGCAGGTGCACGGGGGAAATCTTTTTCCACACACAGCACAGGAAATTAAAGCATTTTTCAATGCCAGTCTTTCCACTAGCTGAGATGAATAGAATTTTAATCTAAATTTTGAACGAGAGAATAAGAGAATTTCAGCGTTGATGCCTGTAATGCTATAATGGGATGGAATATACCACAATAATAGCAGGGTGGCAAATTCTTCGGATACAGCAAAAGAGAATGGGCCCAAATGCAGCAGCTGCACAAATGAAGGAAAGAACTGCTTACCCTAGGCAGGCCACAGGTTGGCAGGGATCTCCAGCAAGAGACATCCTCACCTCCACTGCCAATACCTAAATGAGATCTGGAAAGGGCTGGATGCTGGCTCCACCCCTTCCAGTTATTCAGATGCACTACTTGCAGCTGAGCTCTCTTGGATTGGCCCTGTCTTCCCACCAGGTGCTCAATCACTGGTTCAGGCCTTGACTTAGCATTTTCATAACAATGTCAAAAAGATGTGAAGAGCTGGAAAGTATAGCATTAGAAATAAACGTGCAGTTTTCCTAAAAGCTGAGCTAAAACGAACACTCAAGTAATCAAGACTCTACCAACAATACTCAAAAACAGACTTGAACTTCTTCAAATAAAAAACCTGTATATAGAAAAAGAAAAAAGTATTCTCCAGACTCTCCTCGGGAAAAAAATGATCACAATATTAGTTTTTGTTAACAAATGCCTTAGGATTAATTCCTGAATTCAAATGCTTTAATTGTGAGAAGGCAGATATCTTGTCACTTGTTTCAATTGCAGAATCACATTGCAGGACAGAAAGTGTCTTATGAACCTCTAAAGAGGCTATGATAAATTTAATAGCCTACAAATATCTGTTTTGGTCCTCAGGCTGCTTTTATTTAGTTGGTGATTTTATTCAATCTCATACCTGTTTTAGAAATCAAAGCAGAAACACTTCTTGGCTCAGAGGAAAAAGGTCACTGATGCATCAAAATTAATTTGCGTTGGCATCTGAGTTTTGATTTTCTTTTATTAGAATACCACTGTTCTAATGTTAGATTTTAGATGGAAAAAAAGGTTTATATATTACTCAAATCCTCATCATGATCTCAGAAAAGTAATCTTTCACATAACTGCGCTGTTCTCCCAATCATTCATGGAAGAGTTTCATCTGCCAGAGTAGATTTCAGCTCTCAAGAAGCATGCAGACTGTAATTGGCAGAGCAAAACAGAAACTGGTTCAATGCTTCGTGCTGAGAGCACTTCATTTCTCCCAGTAGGCCTTGGCAAAACTCAGCAGAGATCAGAAACAAAACAAAACAAAACCCTTAGAACATCTGACAAAGAAAAAATTTAGTGAAGTCTCTCTCAAACTTCTATACTTAGAAACTGATTGATGGCTACTGACCCCAAATCTGCTACAGCTTTAAAGTAAAATCACCTTTCTAAAAAGATACAATTATTTTAGATTTCTAGGATTATTAGAGGAAGATATTTATAAACCAGACATGATAAGATAAGGAGAAAAAGTATTGTTTATAAAATCTAATACCTGTTTTGTGTAGATACAACCTTTCCTGTGGTTCAGCAATTTTTGAAGATCTTTCAGATTAAAAAAAAAAAAAAACAACAAAAAAAAACTGCTCTGTTCTCTGGAACCTGAGAAGAAAATTCCTGTCTCTCCTAGAGTTTCTGAAACATGCTTGTTGTTTTTTTTCTTCCAGAACTCCTGGCTCTATTCATGCTTGACTAACCTTGCTTACTGGGATTCGTACTCAAAACCTGCATTGCAACAGCTTCCTCAAAATCTTATATTCACCTACAGTCAGGCGAAGCTCACAATTCCATATAGACATCCTTTTTCATAAGGATAGGATGGGGAACATATATTGTTCTTCTCTGCTGCTCAGCCACACTTATTTTAACATGTTATGTAAAACACAGCAAAATGTAAGCAAACAAATGAAATCACTACCATCTGGTAGTATCAAGGAGATACTTCGTAGAGAGAAAGTTATAAAATGAGTTGCTCAAGCTGAGAACTATGTCAGAAGTTCTAAAATGATACCAGAGGATATATCATTCATCTCCTCATAAGAATGATAGAAATAAATTTGTTTAATCAGAGCCAAAAATGCAAAAAGTTCATCCATTAGTTACCATTAACTCAGAATACTATATTAACTATATTCTCTTATATAGATAAAATTGGAAAATGAATTCAACTCACTGTGCATAAAACAGTTTCTGAATATTTTCAGAAATTTGCATTAACATTCCAAAAGCTATAAAATATTTTTAATTCATAGCAGGAATATGAAGGAATATGCCTATATTAGAAAATATATTCTATATAGCTATATATCTATATATCTATATCTCTCTGTCTATATATAGAATATGCCTATATTAGAAAAGCAGCTATTTCACTTTTGAAAATGCTTAGATGTTATATTATTTTATTTGCTGTCTTTAAAAAAAAAAAAATGAAAAAAGAATTAGTTTCAGATATATTCTCTAACTCATCAGGGAATTCAACTCCCATAAATGAGATTTACAGTCCATTTATTTTTTCCTCATTTTTGGGTATTGTAAAAATTTTTATCACCCTCAGTTTTCCTTTTGTGAAAGCATTATTTTTAAAAACAGTATTTGTTTAAAATATTTCATCTCTTGACTTCCGTAACACATTGTAATATATGAGATAGGCTTGGAGGTTACAATATCAATTCTTGACATTTGAAATTACTTTTATTTGATGTATGATTAAATTCACAATTTTACATCTTCTAACAGTATTACTATTAATTTTCCATCTGTGAAATTCAATTGTCATGTATTGCTGTGACTTCTTAGGGATTTTAATCAGAATTAATCATCAGTGGCTTTTAAGTCCATACATCTGAACAATATTTTCAATCTGTTCTCTTGAAAAAGTACTATTTTTACAAGTTACGTTCTGAGCATATCAATCAGTATGATTTTTCATTTTGTTTTGTCGTATTGAAACCATACTACAGATTTCACTAAAATCTTTAAAATAACACAGAGATATTTACTTCAGACAGCAAAATACATGATATAATTGTAATACAGCGAACAGTTCTGTAATGATTTTTCATTCTTAGTTGTTTGCTTATTTTATTGACTATTGGTTTCCTGTGTTACTGTAACTATTTATCATTATTCATTAATTGCAAGAAATATTATTCCTAAAGCTAATCACACAATAAGATTTTATTATATTATTTGTGTAAACAGTGAAGAAAAAGTCTGATTCCTATATACCTTCAATCTGCAGATCAGAAAGTTTTCAGAAGAAAGTTTCATAGAAAGGTCAGAAAGATCCTTCTGTAGAAATTAATAAGAAATGCATTTATCTGTATGACTTCATTCTCCCCTCCTCAGTCTTATTTTCTCATATTTTTCCATTTGACACATTTTACTTCCCAAAAATTTTTGTATTCTCACCATGTAGTGGTTGAAAAACCTTTCAGTTTCCTTGCTATTCCTTTCTCATTTCTTCTATATATATAACTGTCAAAGTCTGATTCCCAACCCCCCCCCCCTTTTTTTTTTTCCTGAGCTGTGTATTTGCTAAGTATTTTGAGCTGTAGCTATTCCTAGACACTGCCTTTTGAATCAAGGAATTCTAGAATTGCTTGGGTTGGAAAATATCATAAAGATCATCTAGTTCCAACCACTGCCATGGAACAGGGTCACCAACCACTAGACCAGCCTATGTTCCCAACCTGGCCTTGAACACCTCCAGGGATGGGGCATCTACAGACTCTCTGGACAGCCTGTGCCAGTGTCACACCACTCTCAGAGCGTAAAAAAAATAAAAAATAATAATAAAAAAATCTTACTATCTAACATAGCTCTTCTCTCTTTTAGTTTAAAACCATTCCCCCTTGTCCTATCACTATCTGACTGTGTAAATAGTTGTTCTCCGTCCTTCTTATAATCTCATCTCAAGAACTGGAGGGCCACAACAAGGTCTCCCCAGAGCCTCCTCCAAGCTTAACAAGTCCATGTCCCTCAACCTTTCTCCATAGGAGAGATGCTTCAGCCCTTTGATCATCCTTGATGCCCTCCTCTGGATCCGCTCCAAAAGCTCCACCTCCCTCTTGTACTGACATCACCAAGCCTGGATGCAGCACTCCAGATGAAACCTCACAATGTCAGAGTAGAGGGGGACAATCACCTCCCTCTCCTTGCCGGCCTCTCACAACTTCTGATAAGTAGTTGTATTTATATTTGCATGTGCTACATCTGAGAAGTCTTAAACTGTGAATAATAAATTTAGATTGAATGTTTCATACATAAATAACCGTTTAACTTTTTCATTTGAGCTGTAGGTTAGATGTAGCAACAAATCTGTCTAATAGCACTGTAACTTCATTTGTAAGATTAGAGACCTGTTTAATATTTCTGGCAATTCATACTTTGAGAATAAAAATGTGCGTATTTTTTACTTTTCCTATTATAAAAATGCTATGTTCTTTCTTTAAGTATATATAAACAAATTGATATGCTATAGATTTGTAAAATTATATTATTTATAATGTTAGAAATTCATTTTTCTCTTACAAATGCATGAATCAATTCTAATTTGTAATTCACATTCAGTGGAACATTTACAAGTGGGATAGAAAAAAAGGAAGTTAACTGCATAAAAATGTGCTGCTAGCAACCCATCATATTCAAAACTTTTAAAATGGTAATAATTTCTCATAAAGTAGTTAGGCTTAGCATCTGTTCAGTTAATTGACAGTAATCATTCTCACAGAACAGGCCATGATATCCTCTAATTCACAGATCACCTTTACAGTGAAGTAGCCAAACAGCAATGTATGACCTATTTTAGAAGTCTTCTTTCCTCGTAGGACAGAACAAGCATTGCGTAAGCACAATAGCAGTAACCTACTTAGAGGCATTTTCTACTCTTTAGAATCTTCTGCATTTCAGCAGAAATACCAAGAGTTAGTAACTTGGGAAACATTTCTCCAGGAAAAGGTGTACATCATGTGCTAGGTTTTCTTATGTTTTTTCATTTTGTAAATTTGTTGCATTCGCTCTGTGACACCGTCAATGTAATCATGGAGATTTGCAGCACAGGTTTTGTATTTTTTTCCCCCCCATCTGGAGAGCAGAAGGCTGGGAAAATATATATTAAACATGTAGAATGTGAATAGGATGAAAAATGTCTTTGAACTTGAAAACAATCTTCCTTAGCCTTAAATTAAAGTCATTGCTTGAATAATTAAAACTTAATGTTTGTTAGCTAGGCCAACAAAGAAATAAATACATATATTCAAAATATATGTATGCACACAGAGTAAGATAAAAGTAAGTGATGAAAAGATAAAGCTATCCAGTCTGCTGACATTTTTTAGTGTGTGGTATTTCAGACTTTTTTAGGATTGCATTTATTGGCCAGGTGTACCATTTATATATCTGTCAGCAGTGTACAATGACAGTATCCAGAGCACATAACTGAAATAAAGTGGAATAAGATTTATGTTCTGTTTCAAAAGTGGCCACTATGGCTTTTAACAGAATGAACTACTCCTGTGGTAGAAAGCATTATCTTGAAGGTAGAAGTCACTTTCCCATCAGCATTTGAGGGAGCGCTAATGATGCAGGAGATCACTGTAAAAGATGAGTATACAGATGTAAGTTATAGGCTTTAGGAAAATGAGATTTGATCAGTCAAGCATTTCAGGTGAAGATCATGAGAGCAGTTAATGAACTTGAAAAAAGGTGTTAGCTCTCCTGAGATAGTCTCTTAGTGACTGGGAGGTAATAGTACGTATTTGCAGAAGCAATTTGGGTGAGACGAGCTAAAAGAAAAATCAAAAGCAAGTAATTATCAGAAATGTCGTACATATTGCTTTATTATAAATGCAAAAATCTATTACCTACATAATAATAAAAAGGTTGTTTTCTAGACTAAAAGTACTACATAAATCACCTTTTTTCATCCAAGAAAACAATCGTCTCATAAGAGGTTAATTATTTCTGCTAATATAACACTGATTTCAAAGCAGAAATTTCAGGAGCAATACTGAGTTCTCAGCAATGCAACCTCATTATGAAAACTTCTGTAACAGTAAAAAAAAAGTTAAAGAGATTAAGATTTAAAACTGCTTATCAGAATCCTGCCTCTCAAATTCTCCTTTTTAAAAACAAATCAGAACCATAATTTACATTATGCCAGTTGCTCAACTGAACTATATCATGTGATACCCAACACTTTAGTCAATTTAAAGCATTATTTGTGTTGAGCAGGACATAGTATAACTGTGAGATCACTAGACAAAAAAATAAAATAAAATTTACTGGACAAGAAATCCTAGGGATTTCAGACAAGAAAAACAGAAAGTTTTCAAAAATATTACCACAGGTAATAGTTAGCTGATTCACCATTGTTTCAGTTTTGTATTAGTGTATAGAGCCTTTCATATAAATTATCCTTTATCTACAAATTTTGTATTACATACTCAGAAAGAATAAAGCTATTGCATTTACATAAAAAGAGTTTATAATTGTCTTGTTTCATATAAAATGTCAGCCAGCCACAAATATTGTGATCTGACAGAATCGGATGCAGTGTCCAAAACTTAAATCAAACTTGATTTACATATTATTACACTGCACAACTTCCAGAGGACTTTTGGAAATAGGATTTTTTATCTGGAATCATTTTTGCTTTTTAATAACACATTTCAATGTCACTAGTTAGACAAGAACCATGCTTTGCAAGTAGGGAAGATCTTCATTAAGAAATCACCCGAGAGTACTTCAACATATTTTCACATTCCCTTGATAAATTAAGGTTATTTCAGATCTGAAATAAATCTGTTCATTTGTTGGCTGTGTTTATGGAGTTAAATTGAATAAAGTTCTTAAAAAAACATTATTGCTCTTCAGCTATAAGCTTTCTTACTTCAATGACTGTGCAGCTGATGAAAGTATAGAGACTAATGGTGAAAACAGGAGCGCAAGATCTGAGAGTTGTAAAGACAAACTGCTCTTTAGTCTTTCTGAATATAAAAGGAAAAAAAAGAAGTAAGTCACATAGCATGCATATAATTTGTTGCATTTGATTCAGTCACCAGTCATAACTTCAACAAAGTATATTTAACATGAGAAATTGTGTGTCCAGTTCTGATGGATAATCTAAGAGCTACATAATCAGAATGTTTTAAAATAATTTGTTGAACATCCAAAGAAGAAAAAAGGTTTGCAAGAAGAACCAAACCAGGTAAAAACCAACTTGTGGTAATTTTCATACAATGCTGTATCAAAAGTAAAAAAATAATCTTGATTTCAGCAGTGACAGTTCATATTTGAAGGGGAAAGATTTTCAGCAATTTCATTTACTTTGTCACCAATTACTTACAATAAAGAATACGGAAAGGTTGACATGTTGCTAAACATAAGTAATAGATGGCAGCACTGCAGTCTTTTCAATCTATTGCTAAAATGTCAAGCTTCAAATCAGCATAACTGCTGTAAAACAAAACACAGCACTTCACAGAGAAAACTTCATGTCTTTGAAATAGTGGCTTAGCTCTGAAACAAAATTACATTAGACAAATGAAAGCTAAGCAGCTATCTACCATCACTACCTGCATGGCTACCTTGGAGAATTTAATTGGCAAACTGTTGCAAAAGCAAAGCTAAAAGTTGAAGATGACTTCAAGAATTTACTTGCCAAAGCAATGATGAGTTAAGGATCAGGGCAGCTGTGTGCAAATGCTGAAGATATTCCTTAAGTCTTAAATAGAAAGGAAAATGGCTAAGGCCAAACAGCATAGCAACCATCAATCCTAAACAAGTTTTGCACAAAAGGAATCTGAGAAATTTGATATTTTTAATTACGCTATCAATAACTTGGGATGCTTGATTTCCTGCTCATTTAGTCAAACCCTCATTTCTTTTCCTGTCATGCTGATCAGGAGGCTCCAAGAGCACTGGATGTTTTGGCACAGTTATATCTTGTCTTGAAAATACTATTCTTCTATTACTAAATTTCTCACTTCTATAGGGTACTAGAATATCTGATAAAAGCATAGTTTGCTCTAAAATGAGAAGCTTCAGCATCTTCAAAACATTACACATTCTATTCATGTGTATCTTCATGAATACATATAACTAGGATTTCTTTTATTTGCACTCTCAACATGCAAAGCATCTTCTTTTGCATTTCTAAGATGACCTCTGGTACCTACAGTCCAGTGACAAAGAAGAAGAAATGAAAGGGAAAAAAAATCACAAAAAAATTAAGAAACACAAGCCTACATCATCAAACAAATGGGTCTTTAAAGGGCCTGAAACACAATCAGGGCAGGGGCTGTACATACAAGCTGTGTTATGAAGTGCAGTACATAAAAAGCCCTGCAAGGGAAGGTACTGGGTGAATGTGAGAGGAGCTTACAAATAGGCAGTCAGGGGTGGAAATCCTAGAACTCAAGATTGAAACTCTTCATACATGGATGAAAAAGAACTATGCTTTGAAGAGAAAGTAAATAAACTAATAGTATCTGAAAAATGTTAGATGTGTTTCTTAAAAATGTGAGAAAAAATTATCTAGTTAAATAAACACTGGGAAGACTTAAGGAAAATGTAAGCATCTTTTTTCCTGCATCATTTACCTACTCTGTCTACAATGAAATTGGAAAGTCAGTGTTATTATTCCTGTTAAAATATATATTATTTCCTATACTTTCCTATATTCTCCTAATTTCCTTGTTAGCTTGAAAACCACACCGTTTAAAATAAAATTTAATTTTTAATAAGCTATTGATACATTTTGATAATATTTGTTACAAATAATGAGGAACTTTTAGTGATTCTTGAACACAGATTTGATGCAGTTCTTGGAAACTGAGAAAATTTTCAGTCTGAAATTCTGAATGTCTTTAGAGAATGATGGTCAGAATAGATTGCATGATGATTTTTGAAATACAAATATCCTTCAATCACAATGAAATCTAGGTTATTCAATTCAAATTCATTATTACTTTCGGAGAAAGCATGTTTGAAGAATACTTAAAGAAACTATGTTATATAAACATATATGCACATTGCATTTCTATGTTATTCTATCCAACAAATTTGTCATTCCATATTTCTTGTGGAACTACTAACATACATTAAATGATATTGATTACACTGCGCTTTGAACTGAAATATTGATTTTAATATTTAAAATTTACACATTTTCTTCATTGTTCATTCAGTTGTTGATTTATGCCGATAATAGTAATGCAAAGAATTACACTTTTTTCAACCACAAACTTAACTAAAAAAACTCATGCATTTGAATCTTGGATTCATTTTTCTTGCTACTACCACACAGCTGAGGATATTGTGTTCACTTTTTTTTTTTCTTTTTCCTATTTATTTATTTCAGAGAAAAAGTGATAATCTATCTTTTTCGCAGTTTGATATTTAGTGTGTTAATAGTACTCACTTTGACAAAGATTGCAATTGAAAAAGAACTTCATTAGATAATAATGACACAAGGGAGCAGAACTTCATGTAAACTCATTAGGTACTAACTGAGATTCCCTTTAGCACCTACTAAAGAAACCCAGCTGCTTCTGTACGTTGAAATACACATTTTCTTTGCTCAGTCTGGCAAGTAGCGCAGCTGCTCACAGATGACAACTTCCCTAGGAAAAACATGATTAAGAAAAGACATATGACACAATATAACAAAACCATCCACTGTTGCATGACCAAGCAAGTCCACAGAGGTGGTTATGAAATTATCTCTATTCAAATGTATTAAATGTTATCATTAAGGTAATAATGTAAAGCAAAAATACTATTTCTTTTACCTGTATGGATCTTTTTTTTTTTTTTTTTTTTTTTTTTCTTCCAGTGATATATCTGTTTGTGCAAAGGATTTATATTCATTCAAGTGGAAAAATAAACTTCCAATTTTCTGGATTTGTGTAGAAAGCCTACACTACATCCTCTTGCTGGTGTTGTTTAAAACAAGATTCCATTTAGTGTGTTAACACTATTAAACTTCCAACAAACAATGGCAATGCAAATTTAATAATGCAACTTTGAATAAGAGTTTGAATGTGCACACTCTCAACAGAAAAAATTATTTTAAATATGGCTTAAATGCTATATTTATAGAATAGACATGAATTGTACTTAACTATATCTGCTTTGGAGCATACGGTGTAAATGAAAGTTAATTTATTCATTTGCTGCCATGAGATACAGCTATTGAATTGAATGTCTTCCCACAGAAACACTCCAGACTCTGAACCTGAATTTTCAGAATAGCAGATCATGTTAACTGATGAAAGGGACCAACAAGTAAGTACTAGAAAGTTACATTTTAGTGTAATGTTTGTTGAGCACTGTCCATTTCAGCTTTATAGTTTGGTGGGATTTTAGAGAACAATGTAATGGCAGCTAGATATTTTTACTCTATATTTGCTAGAGATGGTGGTTGAGCAAGTCCACTGAATTTGAAGTTCATCCTCTTTTTCCATAATACACTTTAATGGGTTGATAAACTGGTTTACAGCCCTAATTCTAAGGCTTCTAATATCAGTCTTTGTTTTGACGAAACAAATTAGTCATAGCTGATAACTGAGCTATGACTCTTACTTTTCACATTAACATGCTCTAAGCTGGTTCCTGATAAAGTTATCACGGGAATGAGAGCTGTGGCTTATGTTACCTTAAATTCCTCTTGACAGCAAAGTGCTCTGGCTTTTGTGTGGGCAGTGAACTGGATATGATATTGAATATCTGAATACTAAAAATGCCAATCTGCTTATTTAAATCATGGGATAAGCAAAGATTATACCAATCTCAGAACAAAACAATGGTGGACACTACACTGACTACACAATTACTCATGTATACACTCAATAATATAAAAGTGAGCTACACTGCATTATAACAAAAGTGTGATTAGTTCTTATTTTGTATCTTGCAGCAACCAACTGTAAATGCTCAGGAAAAAGACTAGAAATAGGCAGATCTGCAGCCCAACTCCTAAAGACATGCAGCTGGGGAACAGCCTAAGCCAAAGTAATAAACTTCATATTTTATAGCTTTCAGTAAATTTCTTGATTCATAGAAGTTTACCATTTTTACAAGTTCTTCCTTAAAAAGATCAGCAAAGTTGGATATACACTTATTTTCTTTAGTACTCCCCCCCCTTTTTTTTTTAAATATAACCATTTCTATTCTAAACATCTCAGTAAAATATCAGAAAGCAGTGTATTAGTACATAAATAATACATAAAGATTTTCCTCAGTTCACAATCATTTCACACCATTTTAAACAGCTGTGAAGATAAAGCAATGATAGTAAAGACTGAAAGGAATAAACACACTCAAAATCCCCACACCTGTTAGGTCACCAGTTCCAGTTATAACACCCCTAAGCCTGCACTTAAATAGATCTCAAGATAAAAAATGACTTTTTTTTTCCTTCTTTAGTATCTACAGGTTTCCTACATTGCATTTCAAACACTTCATTCTAAACAATAAAGGTTGTAAGTTTCTGTTTTGAATAAGAAATTAATTGTCAATCTAAGCCTAAAAGTTAATGCACAACAGATAAAATGGGAGAGTGAGTATTAGCTTATCAATACAAAATACCAGTAAAAGATCTGCATCTGAAACTAACACCTACTCAAGCATCAGCTGATGTGCTCTTACTCAGATGATGGCTGATAAACAAAACATCACCAGTTTATATTTCAACAGAAGTTGCATATTCTAATATTCTGTTATTCACATTAGCCAGCAATAAGCACTTGGGAAAAGAATGGAGGAAACAGAGCAAGCATGAGTAAATTGCATTTAGTGATGCTATTCAGTACCAATTAGAGTAGCAGTTTCTGATTGACCTATCATTAGGTAAACTAC